AGTCTGCCTTCTTACTTACTTACACCCAGCCTAGGGGGTGGTGCTGCCTGACAGCTTCTTGCTCCTCTGTAGAACTTGTCACGGAGAGGACGGGGCAAATATAGAATTAGTTGACTCTGCCTGTTGTTAGCTCTGCTCCACCTCTTGTTGACATCTCTGCCTTCCTCCTTACCAGTCCAATCAGCACCAGCCACCTTTACTCTTTCTCCATCCCACAATTTTTCAGCATGCTGACTTTGGTGACAAAGCATAAACAGCCTTCAACACCCAAACATAAATGACTTTCACCCTCCCAGCATAAACAACCTTCAATACACACCAGAGAAATAATGTTGGACATGACTAGGCTGTGCAGCACAGCTGGCCACAGCATGGTGATCTCCACTGTACACCCCCAAATTCAGAGTAGGAGCAACACAGGGGATGGGATGGAGTCTTTCCCCTATTTCCCCAAGTTTAAACCCTTTTAATACAACCAACCAGAAGCAGTGAAGCCACATTGCTAACTTTTAAAATGCAAAACCCGCCTAATCAACACTTCCCCAAACAATATATGAACTGAAACTCATCTAACCTTCAAAATTTGGAGTTTTCTGAATTTTGTGAAGCGGTTCCCTGACCCGAAACTGTTTATAAAAATGAATATATTGGGGAAACTGTGCATAGCAACGCTTATATTAATGAAAATAACATACAAAATGGCATTAGGGAAATTCATTGCAAACATTTGACTATTACACAAAGCTGCATACAAAAATGTGTACATTAAAGAGAAACCTGCAATAAAATGCTAATGAATTTTCATGAGGACTTTTTAAAGAAATCACAAATCAACATGGAAATGTGGTGAAGTGAATGTAATACTGTGAAAAAAGCATAAACAGAGAAAGGGCTAGATTTAGGGTTTGATTTGTGCATCCTGCCGACGGGGCAGTACAAGAGAGGCTGTTGAGTGAGAATAGTATGGCATACGCACTTTTTGAAGTGAGTGCCTTTTGTAGGACTTTTCAGACAAAACCCCCAAACCGTAACCATTTAAACTTAGGGGAGTTTAGAAGAGGGGGAAATATGTGCCGTTTTCAGGAGTGAACATTTAATAATGTTTAACAGTAATTTCTGAGATGGTAGAAATTAGTAGATGGTAGATACTGTGGGAGAACTTCATTTAACATTGCTTTATTTGACTTTAAATTTTGTTTTAGAAATGCAGAGGGAATCAAGTAATTTTTTGTATTGTAATTTACAAGGCTTCATTCCAAGGATTGTTGAGAGCACTTAAGACTGTAATCATATACATGCTTTACTTGGGAATAATTCCTTTGGTACTAAGTGAGAACCACTTCTGAATAAATGGTCTAAGCACAGTTTAGCATAGGCAGTAATATAGTTTACGGGGGGGATGGCACCCTTTGAATTTGTCTAGGCATGGTGTCAAAATAATTATTGAATATGATTAGAACTTTTAAATAGATACCCTGTTATTTGATTGCATCTCAATTGCATCTGCCTAGGCTCTTGCTATAGTAGTAGTTAAATTACTCACTAGATGGCAATATTGATCCATATAAATATAGTTGAGATGCATACACAGGATCTTTAAAGGAAGAGTAGAGTAATTAAAAATGATTTTCTATGTGGGATCTTAAAAAGTAGTTGTGGGGAAGAAAGATAAAAGGAACAGTAGCACAAGGAGTCCCTAGATGAATCAGTTTGTGTGCAACGAAGAAATCTGGGTTGAAAGAAATTGCATAAAAGGGGGTGTATTCTGTAGCTAATTTATCAATGTCTAGTAAACACATTCAAACACGGGACGAGCTACTGCCTTGGGTAAATTCAGCAGAGTCCGAAGCAGTGACATTTGCATAGCACCCAACAAGCACCTCTAAACTGCAAGCATAAACTGGCTTAAACCCCCACAGGGCATCCAGCCCTGGGAACAGGCTAGGGATCTCTAATATAGCCTTTTAGCAAAAATTCTCAAGCTTCCTTGTAGGAAAAAAGTTTCCATACCATTTCAAATCAGCATAAGAAATTGGGGGGTTTCAATGAAAACAAAGACAAGGTATGTTTCAGTATAGAAGTATATGCCACCCTGAGCCCTGTTTAATACATCTGGGGAACTTTTCCACTTAGATGAATGTGTGGTATCTTTGGAAAACAAATTGTGTTGTGTAAAACTCACACTAGGATTTCCAATTCCTGTTCTAAAAGAGTCCCTGTGAGTTTTTAAAGACAACAGAGCAAGGAGTAACTTGGCATCTATGGGGCGCAGCTTTTTAGCAGCACACCTGCTAACCTTTTCTTTGTCAAGCCAAGGCACAGGATTTCCCATTTGCTCAGGACCTGGCAATACTAGAACAAGCTTGGATTGGCAGACTTGCTTTAAAGGCAGCACAAGTAATCTGCATAGAGTGCTGAGCATTCAAGGCTTTTATGCAGCTTTAAAGCAAAAGGAAGCATTGTTCAGTTTTGCAAGGAGCTAAGCGCTATGATCCCAATCTGGAAAATGTGGTTAGAACCTTTTCAACCCTCAATCATGCTTTCTCATGGGATGGCCTGGGACCTAACAGGGTAGCTATTGTACTCTCCACCCCCTCCCAATCACTGACTCATACTTTGTTTATCACTAATGCAACTAGATCAAACGGATTTTAATATCACATTTCCATTTTTAAAATGTTGCTATTATTACATATTTTGGTTGGATTAGGACCAAGTCTGCCATTTCCAGGGGGGCTCCCTCCAATTGATACCATATTTTTATTTGTACATTTTTATTTATCTTCATGCCAGGCAATGTCTTGCTTAAATTTCTGCATACCAGGCTGCTGTTAAAGGCACAAAAGCAAAGACAGAAAAATGGTGGCAACCTCTCCTGTTCATGGTCAATTTCTAGGAAGGGAGGTATGTACTGAGGAGGTTGTTTAGAAGACATGCCTGATGACCTGGAAGTCTTACCAGATGCAAAGGAGAACAGGGATACATCTGAGTGAATAATTAATCTTTAGCTTTTGTACCTCCTCCTAGGGGTGTTGGAGAATATGGATGAAAGTGGAAAAGGAAGCAGACATTGCTTCAGTTTGAATGTTTGTCTGTGGTCAGGAATGCAAATTAGTCAAGTGAATGAAATAGGCAATTTTTTTTACATTGTTTCAGTTTCCTGTTGAAATGAATGTGAGTTACATAAGTTACATAAATAGTTGTTTCATTAAATAATGGACAGGGAGATTAATAACTTAGTATTTGGCAGAAAGTGAACTGCAGCATGACAGAAACAGCACTGATTGCAACAAACACAGGTCAACATGGAAATCGCTGTCTTCTTAGTACCTTAAAGGTAAAGGGACCCCTGACCATTAGGTCCAGTCGTGGCCGACTCTGGGGTTGGCCGAGGGAGCCGGCATACAGCTTCCAAGTCATGTGGCCAGCATGACTAAGCCGCAAACCAGAGCAGTGCATGGAAATGCTGTTTACCTATTTATCTACTTGCACTTTGATGTGCTTTCGAACTGCTAGGTTGGCAGGAGCAATGGGAGCTCACCCGTCGTGGGGATCTGAAACGCCGACCTTCTGATTGGCAAGTCCTAGGCTCTTTGGTTTAACCCACAGCACCACCCGCGTCCCTTCTTAGTACCTTTCTGACCCTTATCTCTGTAGGAAAGAGCTCAGAAACTGGACTGCATTGCCAACTTCTAGGGAACAGGAAAGACACGAGATCCACAGAAGGACTGGCTAAACCAAACCTGAATTCATTTCCAGTGCTTTCTAACCCTTTTTTCTCCCTCTAAAGGAAAGAAGCTGGTTCATGGGCTGCATCACCAACGCCACAGCCCATAAAACATGGTCTTCCTCTTCCCTCAACGTATTATATTTTAAAGTTCAAACCAATTAAATCCCCTTTTCCATGGCTGCGCACTGCATGGTTTTGTCTGTGGCAATCCATACTGGCTGAACAGTCTTTCTTCCCTGGTGGACTTGCCTGACAGCACCTTTATACAACTTCTATGGCCAGGTCAAGACTTCTCATTCCTTCAGTTTTTTAGCACTTTTGGGAGCGGAATATTTAGGTTCTTTTGGCTTTTTAATATATGTACACTTTTAATATATATATTTAATTATATGTACACTGCTTTCAGCCTTTTAAGGAAAGGTGCTGAAGAACTAAATATTTCAGCTGTTGCCTTGGTGTCTTGGACATTTCAATGAACAGCAATTTCAAGCAGCTCTTCTGTGGCCGCTGGTTTGTATGCATTACCCTTAAATGAAAGGGACTTTAAGGGAGGATAAGTTTAAAAAATACAAGAGAAACTCTGCCATAGATATCAGTGCAATATGCATCACCTGAAAGCAAGGTAAACAACTGGTTGGTTTCTGTAATTAAAACACTTCTTATGGGTATGAACCAAACATTGCTCACCAGGAAAACATCACTTTTCTTGCTATGCAAGACACCTAACAACAAGGTTATCAATCATCACCATCAAAGTTGGATAAATGATACCCTAACACATGAAACAACATCTTCCAAAGAGTTTACAAAGACAGTATGAATCCATCTATTCGAGATCCGGAATGCAGTTTTACTGGTATAAATCCAGAGTGTTCAGTGCAAGATCAAACAATGATGTTGTGCATTGTAATTAATTTAAGAGTGAGTTCTATTAATGATCCACCTTCAGAGCTCTTTGTTGACAAGAATGTGTATAGTTGTCAAAAAGATCATTAAAGCCCTCCTGATAATGAGCTCGTTTGATACAAGCTCCCTATTTAGTAATTATCACTTGATTGATTCATCAGTGGCTCTGGTGTTTCAGCTTCATAAACAGATCATGAATTGCTCCATTTACGCAATGTAAACATTTTAGCATTCTGTTAACTGAATCCACAACAAACCCAGTCATACATATGCCTCAGGACCAATCCATTCCAAAGGAAACTGCACGGTTAGAAATACAAGCACACAGAGTCATTATGAGAGGTTAAAGGTAGACTTTTCTTACCTATTTCTGCCACGGTTATCCCAGGAGCTAATTGCCCATTGTTGCAAGAGCTATAGGTAAACAAGTTTGGTACTGAAGTGAGGTCATAGATAGGTTCCTGCTTGATCTGTTTGATTCCAGTCATGTCTAAGCCAGACTGGTCTGGGGAGGGCTGGGCAGAATCCACATTGTAATAGCCTTCGGACTTTGGCAGGTCAATGACGTGCCCGTTTGAATAAGTGCCACCAGTTTCATTGTTTAGGTTGCTCAAGCCATTGGTGATGCTGTTGCTGTAGACTCGGGCCAAGGCTTCAGCCTCGCCACTTTGCTGCTGCCGTTGCTCCTGCAGTCGCTGTTGATGCTTCTGTACCTCTGCATACAAGCTGTCCCTCTGCTTTTTGGACATTCTTCCAAACTTTACAGCTGAAACAAATCAACCAAAAAAACCCAGGCATTATTGGTGGTGGTGCTGACCTTTAAAGCCCTAAACGGCCTCGGCCCAGTATACCTGAAGGAGCGTCTCCACCCCCATTGTTCTGCCCGGACACTGAAGTCCAACTCCAAGGGCCTTCTGGCAGTTCCCTCGCTGTGAGAAGTGAGATTACAGAGAACCTGACAGAGGGCCTTCTCGGTAGTCACGCCAGCCCTGTGGAATGGCCCCCGCAGATGTCAAAGAGATCAACCACTATATGACTTTCAGAAGACTCTAGTTTGGCTGATTACATTACATAACTAGTATCCAGTATTAAGATCACTTTACTGTAATTTACTCTCTGTGGAGCCTCCTTTGAAGAGCAACCAGAACCTACAATTGGGCCAGAATGCAGCACCCAGCCTCCTAGCTGGGGGTGGGGTGGGGGGAGTGAGGCTTTCACAGGCTGGTCCTTAAAGAGCTTCCCAGTTTGTTTCAAAATCCTAAAGCTCTGTGTTCAGAGTATCTGAAGATGCTCCTTTTACTAAATCATATGTGTTTTGAACTGCTACTGGAAATATTTCAAAATATTTATGTTTCTGTTTACACTGCAGCAGGTTATCTTCTGCTTTAAAAGACAGAATTGTGCTCTTTCATTTAAATATATTTTTGTTAGCTCTGGTGACGAAAGGTAGAATATAATTTTAAAAAACACACACATTTGTCTATCTCTATTTTCATTTCTGAAATGATGGAGGAAACTCGATATGGTAAGATCTGCTTTGATCTCATGGGGGCAGTTGAACCATATGATACCGTCATCACAAAATGGCAACCCGTTGTTCCCTTACATGTGCACCTGCTGCTACATTTTTGACAGACAAAAGCCTTAGGGTGTAGCCTGTGATCCTTACCCCAGTCACTTACACCAAAGTAAGTCCCGCTGAAACCAATAGGACCTGTTTCCAAGTAAATGTGCCAAGCAGCCAACATCCTGCTGTGAATAATGAGCAGGCCTGCTATTTCTTTTTCATCTCTCCATGTTCACCAAAGAGCAAACCAGTGCTCTATAAAAATGTACAGCCTTCAGATTTGTATCCTGTGTGATTTATCAATTTTCCCCAAACCTTTAATCTGTGCACTAACAGGATTAGTACCTTCTGAAGATAACAAGCCCTAAAGCCCTATTATCACAACCTGTCAACGTGGCTGTTATCTTCACACACTTATTTTGAAGGGAAAAAGAGAGAGAATGTTACAGGTTACAGTTAAGGCCTAGGGGGAAATAACAGACTTGAAGGTAAACACTCTATAGGAATGGCATTTCTTCCAAAGAAGCAACATATTCATGGATTACTTTCCAGATATACATTTGCAACGTATAATCTTAAAGTGCTAAATGTGTTCATTCCTCCTGAGATGAAAGAAGAAGAAATTGTGTTTCCATCGGAATAAGTCAATGTCATAATTCAAAGGCATGTCTCCATCATTTGCAAAAGGCAAAGAGACCATTGTACAGTGGCCAATGAAGTTAATCCAATTATTGCTAAGTGGTTTTTTTTTTTTTTTGCAAAAGGCAAAGCAAGAGTAAGGTTTTCATGACCCTTTTTTCTAGTTTGAGGCACTCTTGACAGCTGTGCTCTGTAGAGTAGGGCACATGGGCACCCTACATAGTCTGGAACCCTCTTGCATTGGCAGGACAGATGAGCGCTGCACCTGAAGAGCGCTGCATTCTTTGCTGCAACTGAAAGTTCCCAACGCCTAAAATGAACTCTGAGTGGACAAAGAAACCTGGTGCCGGCAGGGCTGGGCTTGAAGGTTGTAATAAACACAAGACAAGAATATTGAGATCAAACAGGCCACAGTTTTATTGACTTCAGATGGCAGTAGGTTTTGGTGTAGGCATTAGGCGTGTATCCTGAATCATCCAAGCCACTGCTGGTTGATTGCTTGGCAGAGTCGATCCTGAGTTAGGTGTTGCCCTATGACATACATCCAATCAAGGTGACCCCTCCAAGTTCACCACCTCAGGCAGGTGCTATGGCCCATCGGCCCCCAGTCTGGACATCCAGACAAATGAACCAGCCCTAGACCCCATTAATGGGGTACCCCATATTTTGGAGGGGTGTGGCTCTCTCCCTCCTGACTAAGGATCCAACTCTTATCTACTAGCAAGTTGTGACAATTACTATGAGGAAGAAAAACCCCCAGAAAGGGCCAATTTGCCCAGAGGAATGTTTTCATAGCAAGGCCCTAAGCATGACCTGCCCCCTCAACTTTGTGCAGAGGAAAACATGCTGTAAGGGGTGGTAGGTGGGAGATCCAACCCTGACTGAGGCACTGCGGACAACTGTGGCCCCATTTTAAACCTGGGGAACAGACCTGGTTGAAGTCCAATGGGGAAGTCTGCCTTTAGGTCCACTACCTAGGTCCCACCCATCAGGTTGGACCAGTCACAGGTAGGCGCTGTCAGCCCCCACAGCTGGAGAGGGAGGACATGACGCCCCCCACCAGCCATGTGGGAATCAGAAGCCACCTCTGCCTGGCGGCTAGCAGCCCTGAGCCGCAACTGCGGCTCCCGTTGAAAATGACACGAGAGCCCTTCTGCTTCAAATGTTGCTTGATTTGAAGTGAACATTCTCTGCCATGTCTTTATGGATGAATGTAAAACTGTCTAATAACAACTGCTTCTTGGGCTGTATGTGCACCAAATTCAGTTTTCTGGTGATCAAGAAGTAATGTGACAAACTTCCTTCACAATGCTATGGATTCTGAGCTTACAAATGTCTTCCTTTCATACTTTTCTAGCAATTGCCGTATTTTGGGCCACATGCATCCTCTATTAAAGCCTGCTGGGTGGCCCTGATGTACCTTAACCATTCCGAAGTGCATATTGACCCCCATTTTAGGGAAGAGGTGTACAAGTATCATATTTCAGGCTTTTTTCTACTAGCAATATAAGTGTCTTATAATATAAGCATTATGGGCTACATGGTTTGTAGCTCATCAGAAAGTACTCTAACAATTTCAATACCGCATGTGAGCGCAAATATATTTATATGTTTCGTCTCTGCTCCCAAGTCTCAAAGCAGCTTAAAATAACAAAACAAAACAAAACAAAAATGCCATGTAAAACCACCCACTTCATCAAGCAAAAGAATTGTCACAAATCGCCGTAACAACTGCTGCTTCCGAAATTACTCCTAAAAATGCAGCAAAGGCATGTGCTATGTAATGTGGTATAGTAGACCTATCTTTGGAAGAGGTTCCAGAATCTGTGATTTACAACAGCAAAGGCTCAGCTCCAGATGTGCACAGACAATTTATATAATTCATGGAACACATATTGAAGCAAGTGCTGAGCAGTTAATCAAAAGACCCATAGTGGTACCAAATGGAAAAGGTGCTACCTATGGTATTCTGGACCAACCATACAATAGGGCACTTAGGTAATATGGGTGGCAGTCAGTCAAATTTTACTCAGAGCAGATCCATTGAAATCAAAGAAGTTAGGAGCATTAATTTCAATAGGACTACTTTGAGCAAACCTTAGTTAGTTTTGGGTGGGACTCATCACCTATAAAGAATGTAGACAGATAAAACTATGGATGGCTTTTATTTTATTTTTTAACCTTTTCTCTTTGTACATTTTTAATAGGACAAGTGGTGCAATTACGTGATGTTTAACTTTGGACTTCATGGACTTCTGGAGGTCTCGATCCCTTTTGGATGAAAATGTGTATTAATTCACTTTGAAATGTGGCAAGGCAGCCCTGCTGCACTGGGGCCCCTCCTAGGAACGGGGGAAACTGACTTATGTCAGAGACCATTGCTCCATCTTGCTCACTACTGTCTACATGGACTGGCAGCAGCTTCCCAGGATTTCAGGTAGCCCTACCTGCCGTCGGTGGTGGAGGAAGGGGGTGCGGAGTGTGTGTGTGCGGTTTGCCCCAGGTATCATCACTGAGGGGGGTGACAAAATGAGCTTAAAAAATTGGGCTCACTTTTTAGGAGTGATGTGGTGGCTTAGGCGCCTGCAGGTTCTGTGCTGCCTAAAACTGCCGACTGCCTCTCCCTCAGCCACCCTACAGCTGAGAGGGAGGTGGCGGAGAGGCTCGCCCCGCCCCCATGGGCACGGATTGCCCCGCCCCGGCTGCAGGACATGCCCCCACACAGGCACCCAGTGGCGTAGCGTGGGTTGTCAGCACCCGGGGCAAGGCAAGTAATTTGCGCCCCCTAACCCGTGGATTTGCGCCCCCTAACCTGTGGATTTGCCCTAACCCCAGATGTTGCGCCCGGTGCAGCCGGCCCCCCCTGCACCCCCCACGCTACGCCACTGCAGGCACCTGAGCAGCTAGCTCCGCCGCTGCCTGCAGGGGGCAGACATTGATCCCGGGATTTCCGCCTGCAAACATTTGCTCTATCCCTGCGCTCTGGCCCTTCTCCTGTTATTCTGCTGAGTGGGCCCTGGACTGCATCTCTGAAGTTCTGCCCTGCTGGCACCTCTGAACAGGACTACTATCAGCATCAAGTATGATAAACTACTGAGGTAAAACTGTCCCACATTTCCTTTTGGCAAAACACAAAATCTCAGGAGAAGACTATTTTAAATCCTCTGGAACCTTCCATTTCATTGTCTCCATATGAATGGCTAAACTATAAAGGCCACAAAGATTGACAAGTATCGTGGGGTGAGCAATTCTGCCTTCCTGACTAAATAATAGAAAAGGCTTTCAAACTTTTGGGAGCTCTTGGACAGGTCAAGGGCACAGTACTAGCAGCTGTATTCGAAGACCTGTATGAGCCAACATCAAAACCCTAAAGGGCAGAGAGGAGACGCTCCTTTAATGCCAATACTTTTAACACAATTTCAATAACCTTTCAGCAAAAATGAGGGCTTATGAAAGAAGATCGCTGAACTTTAACATCCAAGAAGTTGCACTGAGTTTAGAAGACAAACTTCATTAACCTTCCTGTGCTTGTTTTGCCATGAACTTTCATGAATTCACAATGAATTACCATAACCATAACAAAGCCACTTGGCCAGTAAAATACCATGTGCTAAACATATTTTAAAAATCTAACTTTAAAGTAAACATAAACCACTTATCTCATTCTAAGCTATTCAAAGGATCATTTTATTTTACACTAACTAAAAAAAACTTTGGTTGTCTAGAGATGAGGGAAAGTGATGGGATAAAAGCATGGCTGAAAGATTCTAAAGGGATGTCGCATCTGAGAATGGTAAATGAGGCCACAGCCAAATAATTCTGCCTTACTTGCTACTGGTGTTTGAATCCTACAGCCCTGGTGGAGTTGTGCAGCTCGACGAGTCAGAAACAAAATCATGCACATTCAATGTATTCACTGTGCCAGATCTGCCTTGCAAGAAAAATGAAAGGCACCAGCGAGAGGAACGTGGCCTTTTTATTATATTTCAACCCAGTGCTTTCCCCCCCTAAAAAAATGTTTAGGGGTACTCTCATTTTGACTCAATAAAATCACCATTTTATAGTTCAAATTGGAAAAAATAAATACAGTAAATGGACAAAAGTACAAAGGTTCACTAAATGTTTAGGGGTATGCGTACCCCTGCGCACCCCCAGAAAAAAGCACTGTTTCAACCTATAGCATATCCTGCCCTCCCTACCTTATCTCTACTGGGCCTGTGAAATGCAAGGCCTCTGAGCTAGGATTCTTTACTACCGTATTTGGTTTTCTCTCTTTTTTTATTGCATCAGATTCATCTAAGGAATATCCAATCTGAACATGTAATAACACAGATTTCCATTTTATTACTATTGCTTTCAACACCTACACCTGTAATCTAAAATCTTAGATGTAATATTTTAAGAGCAGTAACAAGCACTGTTTCTCCATGGCGCTGTTTAGGCAGAGAGCCTTCTCGGTAGTGGCACCCACCCTGTGGAACGCCCTCCCATTAGATGTCCAACAGATGTCTATGACTTTTAGAAGACATTTGAAGGCAGCCCTGTATAGGGAAGTTTTTAATACAGTATTTGATGCTTTATGGTGTTTTTATATTTTGCTGGAAGCCGCCCAGAGACCTGTGCCCACCAACATCCTTGCTGCTGCATGTTGAGGGGATGGATGTCTGCAGCCGGGAGCTGAGTGTACTCAAGGATCTTCCATGCTACAGACACACAGCCCCAAATTGTGGTGGCTTGTCAGGCGCTCAGTGGGACCTACAAATGTGCCCTCATTATCCTCCATCCTGCCACACATAGGTTCCAACTCCTATGGGCTGAGGTGTCATCAGCCCTCTCTATGTTGTTTAACAGGGGTTTCATCCTACCCTGAAATATTGAGGGGGTGGAGGAGGCCGAGTGCCGAGTGGAGTGCTGCTTTGCGCCACCCCGCTGCTGCTGCCTTCTCCTCCCACCACAACTGTGGGGCTCTTGGGAGAAGTGACTGTGGCGATCACAGTTCAGGTGGATCTGCAAGCAGCCAGCCCTCCTACAGCCAGGGTGCTCTGCTGCAGTGCTCCGTTGCTGCCACTGTTTTCCCCTTCCACTACCACCAACTGCAGCTGCTGTGGCAGATGTATTGGCAGCTCCCACTCCAGCCACAGCCCGGCTGGCAGGAAGCTCGCCTGGTCTTCCACCAAGCTCGGTGGGCTGGGCTTGGGTCTTAGCCTCCTCCTGGCTTCATATGCCTGTGTGACATCACAGGTATGTGATGCTATTTCAGCCCTTGATATGTCCAAACTGAGGCAGTCAGTTATACGGCTGCTCTTGGCCAGAGGTTTAGCTAGCCACTCAGGAGCCTGGAGCGTCGCATGAGCCCTCCGCCCGGGGTGGGGCAAGCCGGAGCAGGGCGGGCTACATTGAGCCTGGCCACTGCCTCCCCCTCAGCTGTAGGGTGGCTGAGGGAGAGATGCCTCAAGCTATGCAGACTCTCCTCCACCCACCGACTCTTTACAGAATTGTGGCCCAATACTTATTATTTATTCTTTTGCAAATTGTCCACTAGCAATATCAAACCATTTTATCACCCTTCATCTTAGTCTTTTCTCCAATAGACACCTCATCAAACATCAAAATGCCTTAGGTTTTGGGAACAGCCACGGTCTCTGTTACAGAGCAGCAAGATGCCTCTCTGTCGGGAGTGAAAAGCAGAGCGCAATGAGTTTCAAAGGACTGATCTGTGGAAGCAGGAAGCAAGCTCTTTACCATCTCGAGACATTCCTAGGGCAAGACACTTCTGCAGTCGGCAGTGTTGGCAACGGTTTCTGTTGGTTCTGTCAATTAAGCAGTTTCTTTGCCTTGGGCAGGAGTATGAGGCATTGTTCTGTTGACTCCTCCTAAAGAATCCCTGGGGGGAGAGAGAGAGAGAGCTTGATTCAGTGACATTGTGTAACGTACTTTCTAAATGCTGCTTTTGCTATGTGCAAGAAAAGTCATAAAGATAATGAAAATCATCATGAGATTTTCTTTGCATACCAACCTCTAGAGCCAGAGTGGTATCTATTTATTTTATATTAATTTCTCAAACCCTCAGTGAGTGAGAGACTTCCCCTGCATGCAAAGAAAGATTCCAGCGGATTGAGCGGAAGAGACTAATAGTGGGTCAGGAAGGTCGTTTCTGCATGTGCCATAGAGGGAACTCCATACCCAATCAAAGTAAAAGTTAGGGAGGAACCCTGACATAGTTCCCTCTGTAATATCACCACCACCACCATCAATTCCATAGAATTGTAGAATTGGAAGGGGTCCTGAGGATCATCTAGTCCACCCCCTGCAATGCATGAATCTGCAGCTGTTCCATTCAGGGATCAAACCTGCAACCTTGGCATTATCAGCACCACAGTACAACCAACATACCCTGCCTTTTCCCCTGATTAGACTCAAGGCAGCTTGCAGAGAAAAACAAGAACACTAAAAACAGAAAAAATTAATAATTAAAATACAATTGAACATCAATAGATTTAAATAGATATACATATATAAAATCTGTTTAAAACATATCAATAATTACAATTGAAATGAAAGCTGGTACTTTGCCCCCTCCCCTCCCCACCCCATCAGGGTTGCAGCAGAAGAGATTAGGCTAATTGATCTGATACTTTTAAAACCAGTTCAAAAACAATAGGGTTAAACCTGCTTGAAGTGGGAGAGCTTCTCCTTATCTCCATGAGCTGTCTCCATGCAGCAGGGCTGAGGGGGATCATCTGCCCACAAGGCACACACAAAGGTAGCCATTAATGCTAATCACATCTAAACAGGACTGAGCCTTGGAGCAGCACTGGCTGGTTCAACTGTCTCTGAAGGCCAGGAACTCCTTTTCTGCTCAAAGCCAGATTTGCTCCTGATCGTCTTTATGCTGGGTTTTAAATGATTGTATCAATCAGGCTAATCCAGCGCTATGACCATCACAAATCACAGCAGCATCAGGATGGGAATTGTTTCAGTTCTGATGGTGCTGGCAGATGGCCAAATGTACATTTTAAAGGAAGGGCATGTTTCGTGCATGGTCTGTCCTCCTCAGCATCTCCAATGAGGATGAGAAATGTTGTTTGGCCAGGATACTTGAGAATGGCTGCCAGGCAACTTCCATGGATCACTGGTCAATATAAGACACCTTTATTCAAAGCGTTTTGGGGGTTTGGCTATCGTTTTCAAAGAGAGTGAATCCATATATTTATCATAATAGTTGGACGGACTTGAAACTCTTGCTTAGCAATGCAATCCTAGGCAAAAGGACGTCTCAGGCAAGTGCAGACAGCAGCCTCCCACAACCTGGTGATCTCTGGATGTTTTGGGCCACGACTGCCATGAGCCCCAGCGAGCTTGGGCAATGGTCCATAGGTGGGAGCTGCAGTCCAGAATTCCTGGAGGGTGTCTAAGACAGCAGCCTAAGTCTCTGTTCTAAGCTTGAGCTGGATGGTACTGAAATCCTTTTTGATGTACCTAAACATATTTTCTTTCTCCATATGATCCCTAGGGAGGTGAGGAGGCCCCGCCTGCCCTGTGTCCGTCCCAGGCTGCACAGCTTCTATTCTGCAGGGTGTCTGATAGAAAACATATTATTTGTCTCACTATTTGCTATGGTGACATTTACATAATTAATTGCACAATTAATCAGTTTATTATTATATGACTCCACACCATTCGTTTCAGTGAATGAAAATTGGATATTCCACAATGCAAATTGGAAAAAATGTCCTCAGGTATATATCATTGTGTAGCATTTGCAGACACAAACAGTTGCAGAAAATACCAATCATATATGCTGGATTGATTTCTATTCTGGACATTGGATGAATAAGCAAACATTGACAGTTTCCGATGTCTTTTCTGTTTTCATCAGAATTTTTTGACATCACTAATGATCATTAATAAAGCCTTACATACCGGTATTTTAAAAATGTTTTTCACATACCTCTTTGGGCTAATTGTGAGGAAGTGCATATAGCTAGCTGTACAGGGACTCTTAATGTGGAACCTGCTGCTTCCTCCACTTATTCATATAAAGGCCTGGTTCACACAACGTGGTAAACCAGACTTTGATTGTGTGGACTCCCAGAGAAGAGCTCACAAAATCTTCCCCAGTTCCTTTTGCTCCAATACTGTGCTGAGCTAAGCCACAGAGCTGACAGACCCTCTGTGTCCCTATTTTCCAGGGACGTCTCTGATTTGGAGAAGTTGTCCCAGTTTCTTATTTGATCCCAGAATGTCCTACTTTTCCTTAGGATGTCCCTATTTTCATCGAAGAAATGTTGGAGGGTATGAGCTGAGCATGTCTCCAGATTTGGTTTTGTGATTAAGCTCTCTCCTCATGAATAACAACCTGCAACCTGGAAGTTCCCTGACAGAATTTATTTCACGTTAACTAGGAGAAAGTGGAGGATCCATGTAAATTTAAAACATTTTTAATTGGGAAACTTCTATACTGAACTATCAGTGTTTAGTTCAAATAGTTGCTAGTACAGATAATTCCAAAATTCAAACACAGCAGCATTTAGAGTATAATTTCATTGCTAAGTCAAGAAGGCAACGTCAAGAAGGCGATATTTTGTACAAAATATTGGTCCTTATTGAAAGCATATATGACAGCTTATAATTATAGAAATGACGAAAACTAGCACAGAATACAGATCTCTCTCTCTCTCTCTCTCTCTCTCTCTCTCTCTCTCTCTCACACACACACACACACACACACACACGTCTCATACCTTGCAGCCTTCACATGTGATGACTCCATAGTGTATTCCAGAAGACTTGTCACCACAAATTTTGCATGGTATCACTTCAATTTGTGCTAGAAAAGAAACAAAGAATTAGTGCATGCTTGACAATACAATTTTCTCTCTTTCTTCCTTAATTTTGCATCATGGAAGAGACAGATGGACAAGCCCTTTTCCTGCCTAGCCATAACAAGTGACTGTGAAATTGTATCCTACACTGATGTAAGTTCTCAAACCTTTCATATAGTTTGGTTTTAATGAGCTCACATTATCAAGCTACTCCCATTCCCCTTGAGAGGGTGCTCCACAGATTTCACCCTGAATTTACTTATCATGACATTAAGTCAGACTTCTCCTTTTGTTAATTATACCTCATGAAAATCCATTCTTCTCCTCTACAAATTAGTCTTTCGCTTCTCATCAGCCTTCTAATAATTTTGCAGGCAGTGATCTTGACCTCTCCCACACCCTTGGATAATGTACTGTGTAATAACAAGTCCTCAATTGCTCTTGACACGGTGGAGTTCATATCATATGATCACAAATACAAACCGTAGTTATCTAAAATTTTCATGAAACTCCATATGACTGATAGAGGCAACAAGGCATTCATTGTTTCCATAAGCATCTACAGATTGGTGCATCCAAACAGCAAGACTGTCTGCATTTTGAAAGCTAGGGAGATCCCATTTCCCCCATCCTTTATCTCTCAATAAGTACCAGATCACATATTGGTTTTCAATGTGGTAAACGCCTCATTTTACCACATAATCACAAAGTGAATGTTATATATCTGGCCATAAAGTAATTCATGTGAACCACACAGCAATGGTGAACTTATTTCTTTATTTCAGCCAATTACCAGTATTTATGGTGAACATAGTTTTTACTAAGAGAGTAAAACAGGAAGTATCTCTATAAAGTAAGGGACAATTTAAACCATGGGTGGAGAAACTGAACTACAGCCCCACCCCCCAACCACTGGTCATACTGGCTGAGGGTGATGGGAGGTTGGTCCTGCAACTTCCAGTGGGCCACAGATTTGAAGGAAAGCTGTGAATGTATGGAACTGTCTCCAGATTTTTGGGTGGGGGAAAATATGCAGTGAGGTGAAAAGGCTCACCACATACAGATTTCACCATGCCAATAAGTTATATACATGTCAGCTCTAAGGACGACTGTCAGTTGAACACATTCAGAGATATGGATCAAGAACCCTTCTGTATATAAGAAAGAAATCTCAAGATGCCCGGCTTTACAGTCAAGCAAACTGGCTGTTCTACAAAAAGTGCACATAAAAAAGCTAATTATGTTTTACAAAATACATCACAATTTAAGCATGATGTATGATGAGAGTTTAGGACTAAGTAAAATTATTTAGCAGTGATTACTTTGGGGCTATTCAATATGCCACAGCCACAAATGATTTATATGAAGATGTTGTATAGAAATGAACTATTTCACTACAAACAAATGAATTACAAGCCGGTTTCCATAAGACAGCTATTCACAGATTCCTTGGGAAACAAGCAGCTTTTTCACTTGTTCATGCAATACATGTTCCAGGCATCAGAAATACTCTTGGGATGCAGCATTTGTAGAGTATTGTGCAAATGGGTAGAACAAGCTCTAGCACATTGCATCTAGGAGCAGAAAGTCTGTTTCCTCCAGAGAAGCAACAGAGGGAAGTGTGTGGATACAGAATGGAGCCCTGGTAATCTCTGTGGTCCAGCAGCTTCTGCAAGAGCTCTTGGAACGTGCTTTTCAAACTGCACCATGCATGGATTGAGACACCAAAAATGCCTGATAACATGATATATGATATGTTTCAAGAACTGCTATTTTGGGGAGCTGAGCTGAGAATTTCTGAAAAACATGTAATTTTTGTAAAACGCTTACAATTTTTTTTTTAAGCACACAAACCCAGAACATTTGTTCATATGCCTGCTGAGAGTATCACGTTGAGATGCAAAGAATGGTACAACTAGGTTAATGCGTGCAAGGGTGTGTTAGGCTTGCGTTTCTTACATAGCAGCCTCACTTGCGATATCACAAGCAGCTTTGGCAATGGCAGAACTTTCAAAAGCAGATTGTGATCTGGCTTTTGGGAAATAGGAAGGCGAAGGCTGATGACCAGAGGACAGAGAATCAAACGTACCTCTGGGTGTGGCCAAACCCTTGGGTGTACTTAAATAAATTATCAAGATTTTGGATTACAGTAATTTATTCTGTATTGTTTTAATCTGTCCAGATTATCTCCACTACACAGCACTAACATAGGAGTACCAATGCATGGGTTTTGTTTTTTTTAAAGAATGAATGACAAATGCCAGAAAAGCTACCTACCCCAATCACAATGCATCACCATTTTGTGAAGATTTTCTATGTTTATCTTTTAAAAAAATAAGCCAGACACTGAATGGGCACTCCTGCATTCCTGCTCTGGAGCACACATCTAGCCACAATTCTTCTGCAGCTTTTCATTTTAAAAAAAGAATGAATAACACAGTATCATGGCTATACTGAAGCCGCACTACTCTCCTCCCCAGTCTGTGAGATAGGTTTATCACTTTGACTAATTCTGTGAAAGGAAACAGAAACTGACCATGCAATATGAAACATGCACATACAGTGGTACCTCAGGTTACAAACACCTCAGGTTACAAACACTTCAGGTTACAGACTCCGCTAACCCGGAAGTAGTACCCCGGGTTAAAAACTTTACCTCAGGATGAGAACAGAAATCGCGTGGCGGCAGCAGGAGGCCCCATAAGCTAAAGTGGTACCTCAGGTTAAGAACAGTTTCAGGTTAAGAATGGACCTCAGGAACAAATTAAGTTCGTAACCACTGTATTTTTTTAAAAGCTCCTCAGGACTGGTTTGCATACTGGACAGAACTGCCAAATTCCTTCCAAGTGCTTGTTAGGATTGCAGGACTCACTGCACTATGTTTGCTGTGTGCATTCATGCTTCCCGCTCAAATACTATCTCCACATGACTGTGGGACTGAGGCTGCATTCACATGGCAGTTTATTCCATTTCTTTCCTTAGTTCCCTCAATTTCTGCATGATATTTAAGCTTTCATGTGACGCAAAAGCCACTATCAGAAAATGAATTACATGTAGTATATGTTTGCACTCATCTTCATGTTTTTTGATTCCAATAAAATATCGGTCTACAGCTCCCTTAACCTTGAAAATTGCGGGAGTAAGTGACAAAATTTTGGGCAATAGACTGGAATCCAGTTCTTTCCTGCTGTTTTCATTGGGGAATCATGGGGGGGGGGGGGACAGAAGCATGCACAGAAAGCAAGGGAAAGTAGTGACATTGCCCAATATGTCAGTTGTTTCACACCATGCCCCTGGTGTGAATGAAATTTAGCAGGACACGGTCATATTGGTCAAAAAGGCACAGTTCCATAACACAAAAGGTACTGCAGTGTGGAAGGAACAATAGAAAATGTGACAGGTGCACTAGCATTATAATCAGGAAAAATAATGAAGTTTTCCTAATGTCTAAATACACCCTGAGTGAACTCAAAGACAGCAAACAGAAGAGAAGGAAATTGATGGTAACGCCACTTGTGACCCTTTTTAAGGAAGGGTATATCAGGTGAAAGTGTAAGAGAAGCAGCCTTTCTAGATGTCAACATCTTACAGTGCTTGTCAAGTATTATGGTGCACAGCCAAGTGCTCTAGCAGAATGCACATCGCTGCAGGAAAGCTGCCAATGAAGTTTATATGCTTCCAGCTGCCTTTGCCCCCATTCTCTCAGTTCTAAGGTTGAGCCACTTGGGTTTTGTGATGAGCTGTAACAACAGCTGGAGTTCCTTCTCTTGCTTGAACAGTCAGGTCTCCCTACCCACCGCCATCTAGTGGCTATGTGCTATGTGCCAAACACCACACCAACCATGTGAACTGAGGGACAAGGTTTGGCTGATGCTCCCTCCTACACAGCTCTGACAGCAGTTAACTGGAAATGCTGGAACAGTTGCATTTCTCATCCTTCCAGTTAAAGCCACTTGGACGTACCTAATGCTGTGCAGGACAAATGGCTCCAGATTCTTTCCATAACTAATAAAAAAGAGGGGGAAACATACTTGATGACTGTGATAGCTCACGAAACAGGCATCCTCACTAGTCTAGGGAAAAGAGATTTAAAGATGTTGGGAAATGCAGACTTGATGGCGTTCTCATAGGCACTCCTCTTTTGTCTAACAGACAGCAGGACAGTTTAAGGACTTGTAACAGAAAACTCAAATCAATTAATTGTACAGGCCTGAAGAAAAAGAAGCTTGTGTATTCTCAGAAACATCTTGAATTACTGTAATTAACACCCAGTGTACCAGGTTTCCTTTGCAGATTTAATGATTGTCAGGAGCTCCTACACCTTGTTCACATTGCAGCTTTGTTCGACAATCTAGAACTAGGTTTCCCTCTCTTTTTTCAAAGCTTGCCACACTTGCTCATGCAGGCAGTCAAATAACTGACAAAATAATACAGCCTGTGGATCTTTCTTTCCAGGGTGGTCAAAAAACGAGTTTCCCTTACCAGGTTTGCCGTATTTAAAGTTTCAATCATGTTTTGCAGGTCTATGCCATTCTAATGCCACATTGAAATATGAAAATTTGCCATAAATATTGGTGTGATCTGCCTTCTTAACTTCTGCTTGTGATCTTGATTCTGTGGACTTGTCTGTGTGGAAGATATATTTCCACCTCTGTCATCTGTTGTGACAATGTTGTTAGAAAAATACTTGCAAATATAACATATATAAATATATCTGACTGCTCTTTTATTCAATAAGTAAGCCCTGTTCTGAGGACATATCCCTATTGATCATTAATAAAATGTTCAAGCCCTGCACAGATGACATGAGCAGAGACAAGCAACGTGTGGGTGATGCTGGCCGTGCTGGCCCACTGGCCTCACCCTTGACCTCCTTCATGTATTCATCCACATTTCTGCACACAGCCTACAAACCTCACATGGTATCTCTCTACACAAGCCTTCCCCACCCCTGGTGCCTCTCAGATGTTTTGGAGTCTCCCTCCCATGAGCCCCAGCCAGGCCA